TTCGCCGCCTCCGTACCTGGGCACCCAGCTGGGATGAGCTCAGCAGGCCACTCCTCAGGGGCTCCATGCTGAAACAAACGGTGTCCCAGCTCAGTCCCCCCAAAGGTCAGTGGACACAGAGCTGACGTGGGGAGGAAACAAGATGAAAGTAAGCTCGCCCAGACAAATCTCCCTCCTCTGCTCCCAGTGCTCCAGTCCAGGCTCCTGCCATTACCAGTAGTAATAATTAGACTTCTTTCCCCATTTTTCAGTCATGATTCACTACTGGGATAGGACCAAAGACTGCAGCTGTGCTTTAAGGTACTAGGGGTGGTGCAAAGAGACCTCAACACCACAGCCTGGAGATGGACCACTTTCTGCAGTGGTGGGAGTATTCTAAATGGTCCCCATGTCCAAAGACAATTTTCACCCAAACACAACACTAATAACTAGAACCAGTTGACTCTGAGCAAGGAAGGCTCTGGTCCATATGATGAGAGGAACCAGCAAAAAACTAGAAAACAGATCAAATCCTGCTGTGTGCTTGCAGAGGGACGGATTTCCTCCAGACCACCACCTTTCAGGGGCTCCGACCAGAACAGGTTTTGCAGAGTCACTCCTGCATCCCTGGAAAGTGCTGCTCTTGGTACTTTTAAAGCTCGGCCCCTGATCTATTCCACACAGGAGTCTCCCACTGTGGCTTCAGGCTGCCTGCGTGGTGCCTGTGCCTGCTCTACCCTGCACTCTGTGGCTCCCAGGTAAGGCCTAGTCTCCGCTCCCTCCAAAAGGCTCTCCTTAGCTAGGAAAAGGAGATGACCAGGCTCTTTTGGCTGTGTTTAAACAGATGTACGTTTCTAGTACGCCTGCCCCCAGAAGCTGTCATGACTTGCCACAGCCAGGAGCAATGGTTGCACACCAGAGTTGAAGAAGGACTAGATGTCACTTCCGTACAAGGGACAGATGTTCTACTAGCCCACGCAGGGGCCAGTGCAACCAGTATAGTAGAGGAGTGATGGGAACATGGGTCCTCCTGACAGCTCACTAGATCAGGGATAGGCAGGGAAGGTCAGGCTGGCCATTAGCACCCAACCCCCTTTGCCTGTTTGTTCTGCAGTGAGCGCATTTCCTCACCCCACTCATGGTCACAAGGCAGGAAAAGGGGAAGCCCGTAAAAAGAGCCCATGTGGCACCACAGCAGAGGTACAAGAGACAGGACAACCTTGAACCACCTTTGCTCTCCAGGTAAAATGAAGTCTACCTCCGTGCCGTACAGATAGCTTCTCTCCCTACTGTTCCACCCAGGCTCTGAGAAGCATTTTGGGATTGCACATTAATCAAAACAGGCTGATCTCAGCTCATTTCTAGCTCTATCTAAACTACCTCACTCAGCAAGCATCGAAGAGAACCTCATGCCCCTGGCCCCATGCTGCACCCATCTTGTCAGCAAGCGCAGCTGTGGCTTGGCTGCCATTCCCTGCAGCCTGCAAGGAGCCCACCTGCCTGATACGGATGTGCCTCCCAGCAGCACCGGTGATTAACACATGCAGGAGAGGACCTGGGCAGGCAGGCTGCACCCTTCCTAATTGACTGAAGGAAGAGGAACTTGCTCCAAAAGGAAGCACAAGCTCCAGCTTCCCCACATTCATTTACTTGCAGAGCTTGCCCAAACCTGTAAGTAGGCATCAGCTTGCAGACAGGCAGTTTAGAGGAAGCAGAATTAGGCCAGTGAAAGTCAGCTGGAGGTATTGACCCTTCTGGCAGTTTGGATGCAGACCCTGGGCTCAGCTTAAACATGTCTTCCTTCCCTTCTCCTCTATCAAGAAGAACCGGCCCTTCCCAGCCATTATTTTCTTCAGCATGCCTCATTCCAACTACAAGTCCACTGTATCTGACAACATTGTCCATCCAGCCCCTGCAAAACACACCAGGTAGAACTCCATCAGAGCACCTAGACGCCTTCCATACAGCAATTCCTGGGGAGAAACAGACATACAATCAAATATCCCATTTTTGGGTTTAACCACATAAAGAATTTACCAAAATGTTCTTTATTTTTCTAGAATGTATACATTGTAATAGTGCAGTTTAGCTTAGGGCAAAGCTTAAGGCCAATACAAAGAGCAAGAGTCTCTTGAGAATCTGATGATGGCATTGAGATATACTAGATACTTCGCTGACATGCACCAGAGAGCCCTGGTGGCAAAGCACGGATAACACACAGGCAAAAAACAAATCAAGAGCTAGCTTCATAAGCAAGCAGGCTGGGCAGGCTGCCTCACAGCCATTGCTAGTGTTACACGCATCAGGTCAGTAAGTTTTAAGTGCTTTCTAGTAAGTTATCAGGAAGGAGTGTTTGCAAAAATGCATGGTGATGTGATCACACAACTGAGAGCTCCACTTTCCAAGTCTCTGTGGAATAGAGGTTTTAGGTTAAAAGTTTCCCTGTACTCATTAATATAGGGTAAAGTCTGCTCAGCAATGAATGCAAACAGTGCCACAGAACAATGACAAATGCAGGTGCAAAGGAGGAAATGCTAGAGGCATGATAGTGCTTCAACATTTATTTTCCCCAAAGACACATAAAAATAATTAAAAGAGTTCTAAAAACCACAAAGTTTTATAATACTTCACAATACATAAATACTAACTGTGCTTCCCGCTTAGACTAACCAGCAGGGAGGTCTTTTATTCAGGCCTTTATGTCAGTAGGTGCATAAAGCTGTTTCATTTACTTCAGGTACAGAACAAGTGACAGGAGAAATGTATGGCAGAGTCATTCCAGTTTGGTTCAAGGCCAGGAAATTCTCCTGAGAGGGATGCTTTGCTGTTGACTGGAAGCCATGCTTAACAGATACTGCTCGCATCGTGTACAGATGTCTGTGGTCAGCCAGTCTGCCAGAGTCCCTGTGTAACAGCACAGAGGCTGTGCTAGGCAATGGGGTTCCAAAATAACGGGTACACTGGAGTGGGAGAGGGAAAAAGAAAAGCAGGAAAGCTGACGCAGGTTTCTGTTAGAGGGCATGGTGCTCTTCCACCCCTCCCTCACACATGATCCAACACTGTTAAGTAATTTCGCTAAATGCATGAGTCCAACAGAGGAGTCAGCTCCACTTAGGAAGGCTACCAAGCACCAGAAGAGCTTCATTTACTGAAACCTTCTCTCTATTGACAGTATGTCAGCCACAGGGCTAGTGAGTATCTGTGGTTGATCCAAGGTTATGGCCACATCCTTATGCTGTAGGATTTTTACTTGCAGTAATGCAGTCACTCAACCCTGTCTGCAGCACCTGCATTATAGGACAGACCAAACCACTGCCTGACATGGTTAACTTCAGTAGTGAACACTATCCCTGATTTTTGGCAACTAAAGTACAAGCCTTTGAACCAGAAACTGCTGTGACTTTATTTTGGCTACATTAAAGAATGGTTTCAGAGAGAAAAGATACCTGTTCCCCCAGTAGAATACATAACTGATTTGGAAAGAATAGAAGAGATAATGTAGGTTTCCAGTCCTAGATATTGCACTTATATCCACAAGGTCTGTCTTTTCACCCAGAACTGTCAAAAGCTCCTTCTGAAAGAGTTCCTTTTCTAGGGAAAAAAAGGAAAGGGTGTCTGTCTGCGGAGGGACTGAGAAAGCATTTGTGGCATTGCTCTTCAGTCAGTTATACCCAAGTCCATTAGCATATTTTATTTCTAGGTATAAAGGGGCTACTCCTGGGTTGTAGTGACAGATCCCCAGCATTGGGGGACAGAATATAACGGGGTCTGGAAATTCTCATACAAATGAAAGTGCCACAAGGAACCTTCTATGTCTGGGCTAATATGGACACTTCTGAATCCATATCAGAAACCTGATGGCTAAGCAGCAAAATGCATTTCAGAGCACCTACACATGTCCTCCCTTTTGGTCATCTAAAATCCACAATACTTCCAGAGAAGTGTAGACTAGTTAGACCAGTGGCTAAACCAGTCATTCAGCATAACATTCATCTGACCAGCATAATATTACATACTGCTGTCTGCATGTTTGTAGACTTGCATATACAAGTAACTGGTAACATCTTTCAACGTAAAAACAGAACATCCCTGTCCCAGCTTACCCCAAACATTCCCAGTGCTCTATTTCATGCACCATCTCTGAGTTCTTTTGCTCTTGCGTAGCTGGGTCCTCCTCTCTGGAGAGTCTCAGAAGTTTTAGGAAGTGAAGTGGGAGATGTACACATGTTCTGAAGGGCATGGACATCTAGAATCACAACATAAGTCACCTGAGTTCTCAGGGAAACACATTCTTCTTCTTAGCAGGAAAATTTACACGGCATGCAATTGATTTATTGGTGCACTTAGAAGATAGACATTAATGCAGTGAACTTTCTGACCCTTGTGTAAATAGAGCACAGAGTAATCCCAACCACTTTACACAGGATGAAAGAGAAACCAGAGTTGTTTTAGCTGAGTATGACAAGAGATGTCTATGGCACCCTGCCTGCTTTTGCACTTTGTAATATTCCCTCTTTATTTTCTTAGAAGCAAGCTAGAAGGTAGATTTGAGGTATCAGTGGGATGAAGGAAAGCTTGCTATCACTAGGTGAGGTGCCGGGAAAACAGAAAATGTAAAAAACTCATCTGCTGTTGTAAAGACTAGACTTGCCTTGGTGCAGCAGTTGCAGCAGACAACACTAAGAAAAAGATAAAAAGTTCCCAGCATTATCGTTTCGGTAAAGCTCAGCAGATACCAATATTTCAGCTAAGGGAGACTTCCCCAAGTAAGTCTTAATTTGTGATCATGGCACAATCACTTAATGACAAAGTGAGCAAGCTTAGAACTCCCCTATTCAGTTTGCCAGCCCTCCTATTTATCCTAGTTTAAATCATCTGAAATGTGTCAGCATCCATAGCTTGAAGGCTTTATCTGTAAATGCTCATTACTTTTCACGAAGCACTACCACCAGAGGGTTACTCAATTCCCAGTGGTTGTTTATTTGCTGCTTGTAATCAATTCAGTGCTTCACCACTGCTTCAAATAGATTTAAGTGAGCCTTAATGAGCCTGAAGCTCCTCTTTTCCTCTCCCATGAACAGAAAACCTCTGACAAGTAAGTGAATACAGGTAGGTCCAGCTCCCTTCCCAGTCACAGGGTCTGGAGTTCACTTTTTCAGTCCTCAACAGAAGATTCTGGTGAACAGCCTCTCCCAGAACCTGCTCAAGCCCTTGACTGAAGTTAAGGCCAACCCTTAGAGCAAAATGGAGAGAGTGATCTCTGAGAGAAATCGAATCTAGTACAGTAAATTTGGTTATTGCTAGCTTAATACTAAGAGTTAAAATTGAGATACCACTTCAGAGGCAAGTTTTTCCACATCCTCTGCAGCTGTAGACACTTCAGCCTGGCTTGTGCAGTAAGCCAAAACTGAAGGGCTCAGCAACCTGTTCCTATCCAGTACTACAACTGTTTGAATACTGAGTATTTTCAGCACTGTTCTTTCTCTCTTTTCTCCCTCCTCATTCAGTCCTTTTGTACCAGCTCACCTGCTGCAGAGGTAACAGCTGTAAGGCCACTTAAGAAACATCTGCTTATGGCAGCTGAAACATAACTGTGGAAAGGAAAGTTACTTGTCAATGCAAATGGAAAATACCTTTGTACCAACAGTATCCACTGCCTGCCAAAGAGCAAGCACATAAACCAACCTTCTAAAGGCTTTCGATCCACATACAATAACAGAGGTCCAATAAAGGATAGCAAAGACACAGGAACTAAAAGCTAAAAAGGCAAAAAAAAGTCTTACTTGTAAGGCCAGTGTTTTTATGATGCAGAGGTTTGGGGCAGCTGCCAGACAACAGAAGTTTAAAAAAAGGCTCTTGAGCAAACAATAGCTGTATTGTGCAAGAGTGTAACAGTAGCTAGTTAAGAGAGAGGGAAGAAGAGAGACATTCTTTGAGGTAGACTGCAGCAATCCCAAAGAGATTAAGTCAGGGCAAATTTGAATCCAATCCTGAAGCAAAAAATGAGTCATAAGGAAGCTGATGAGTCGCTTGAACTTTATAAAAAACGAACACATTCATACACAGCTGGCAGTTAGAAGTGATATTATCTGGAGAAGTAGAGCCCAAGAAAGCTAAAAAAACTTTAGCAGCAAGAACACAAAGGGGGTAAGAGAGAGCCATTTTAGAACAGGCAGACAGCAGGCAAGTTAAAGCAGCGCTGGTAAGGTGAGAAGAAAATAAGGATTCAGTTTCAGGAGCATCAGACAGATTGTGGAAGTTGCATAGCTCTGCTAGTAGAACCCTCTGTCTCTTGTCTGTACTGCTAGCAAGTGAGGGCAAGAAGCTGACCCCTAAGACAAGTAGCACAGACTTCCTCACATCTGTGTTGCAAAGGGCTTGTACTCCTGACATCTGCTCTAGAGGGGCTGGTTGCAAGATCCCATCTAAAGGAGACTTGGTGAATAAGCCAGCAGTTATGCAGAGTGGGCAGCCAACAGTCCTGTGCTGCAGGTCATTCCCTGTCCCCCTCATCTCCCCAACCTTCATGTCCACTCAGCAAGGTGGTTTGAGACAGTTTGAGTTAAGAGCCTTTGTTTCATTGTTTAGCAGTACCAAACCCCAATTAATTACTGCATGATTTCAGAGCTGGCCAACAGTCATAGCAGTCAGCTCTCCTAGCATGGAAGTAACAGACAAGAAGTATCAAGGAAAGGCTGGGTTATTTTCTAGGCAACTTAGACAGCTTAAGCTTGATTAGAAGCCATCACCACACAAGTATTAAAATGTTTTTACAACCTAGGCAAAATTTGGATCAGCTGTATGCACAGGATAAGTTGAGGCAGAGAGCACCTCAACAGTTAGCACTGAGGGCCATGAAGCCAGCCAGCTTTTGAAAAGGCAAGGACAGCACGAAGAGAAGGAGAGGAAACATACCTTTGCTCTTGGAAAGACACCATCACCGCCTCCTTGGAGGCCTTGCACCTCCTGCACCATCATTGCATATCTGGTTCCAATCAGCTCAGCAATGGTTGGTGATGGCCACTTGGTAGCAAAGGGACAGTCCTATCAAAAGACAGAAGTTAAGCGTCAGAGAAAGCTGAAGGAAGCAGGTATTTGGGGAGGTCATCCTCAAAACTGGATCCCAAAAGGCTCAGGAGCATTTGTCCCCAAAACTCAGTTTTGCCAGTGATGGAGAGTATCAGTTGACTCTTTAACAATACTAGCAGGGAAACTACTGTGGGGGTTTCAGTGGTTGCTATAGTTTTCAAGCAGTTTCCTGACACCTTGTTAGGGAAGCAGGTCCCTCGGTCACCACAGTAGTTAATACCATCTCCAGAGCCAGTCTCTGGGGAATTCTACCCTTTGGTACAGACCACAGCACAGACGGCACCCTGGCCCCTCCTAGGTACAGGATCCCTTTCCACGGCACAACACTGTCTTGCCATCTCCCCAAGACCCACTGGCCCCACACAAATGACAGCTATGATCTGGTGGTTGACCAGGAGAGACAACAGTGCTTTTAACTCCAGGCAGGGAGCCCAACCCACCTGCATCCCCCACCACACTGCTGAACAAAGAGGTCACACAGAGTTACGGTCAGTTTAGAGACTTGCAAGGGGTGCGGCAGGGAGGGATGCAGAAGGAAAGAAGGAGGCAAGGGCACAGCACACCTTGTCAGGGCAGAACAGGGCAAGGCCATGATTCAGAAGGTTGCACAGAGGCACATAAAACCCAGCATTGCTCCCACAACAGAGCCTGATGACTTCAGTACTGCAGAAATTTAAAGTCACTGATGCTGTGCTATCTACATTTTGTCAACCACTTGTTCCCTTTACTGCAGCTTAAAGGATGTTTGTGAATGTGTCAGAATCTAGAAAGAATGAGGGGAGATGGAGAAAGCAGGGCAGTCCCACTGCCAACTACAGTCTGCTTGAGGAAGTCTTGACAGACACTTTCAAGTAATGCAGTGGCATTTTTCTCTTCTTGTACGAGGAAAAACTGTATTTCATATCATTTAAACTGGGAAGCCTCCACAAGGACACTACAGCATCCAGTCTTCTCTTAAGCTATCTCCAAGGAGAGAATAATATCCCAACTTCCTGTCAGTATACAATATAGCCTAAGATAAAAAGCACAGAACATGCTTACTGCTTGCATGAAGATCAAGGTGCAAACTCTGGTCATTACCAGATGTATCAGACCAGACTTGCTAGCTGACATGCCAGACTTACAAGCTCCTTGCTTTGAAGGCCTCTCTCTAAAGATTTGGATCTTCCTCTGTAAGGAGGCAGCTGCCGTTGACCAGCATTCAGGAAATGATCAGGTTTAATGTCTCCTAGTGTAGATGCACTCGTGGGAGGACGTGCGCAATTTGTAGCGAGACCTGGATAGGAAAAGAGAGTTTTAGCATGCAAAAAACCAATTGGCAGCTTCTAAGTATTCACCCAAAAGCTGAACACTCAAGAGCACGACACTGCCTTCTGAAGGTAGCAAGGCTTACATCTCTCTCCCTCAAGCCCCATCAGCTCAGATCATAAAAAGCAGAAGTATTATGCTTGTCAGTAGGCAGTGATAAGGCTTCATTAGCACCATTTAGTTTAATAAAATCAAGTGGTGTTCTTTCTTACTTGAACGTTCAAAACTTATTTAGCTTTTACTGTGAATTTCAGTTTGGCCTTTGGGGACATGCTATCATTGTTTTGAAGCTGCAGGAGCTATACGAGCTTCAATCAACTGCAGAAGAATGGTTTTCTAAGGGCATCTCCCCAGACTCATTACTTAGTTTTGGAGCTTCTCCTGTAAAGTGTCTTCAGGTGATCAGAGAGAAAGCGTACAGTGAGCCCAACCTAAGGCTTTGGGAACCTAGCAGGCCACTGACTACTTTCTCACCTGGTTTAGATGTGCAGCTGGAAGTACACTGACCTGTGCAGGATACTCCTGCTGACCTGGCTGAAGTAAGCCAGGTGCTGGAAGGCAGCTTGGGAGTGGTTTCCTGTAGACCAGAGGACAGGATGTTCTTAAGCTACATACAAGAGACACCAAGCCCACTTCCTCAGAAGTGCTGCTGCTAAACAAAACCCAGGATACCCAGGACTGACCAGAAATGTTCAAGGCTCAGCCAACAGTGGAGCAGAGAGAAATCAATGTGGTACATTTAGCAATTTTATATTCCAAGAGGTCATAGCAAGTTAATTCCCCCCGCAACCAGGAAGATCCAGCCAAACTACTGAAATTTCAGATTCATCTGTTCACTCTCTCGGCCAAGTTCAATGTGGATACTAGTCCCTGTTCGGGCACCAACTTCACAAAATCCTCCCCGTACAACTCAGAGTATGTTGGAACCATTTTCTTGGCTCCAGCTCACATGTAGCAACACCCGAGAACAGTTCAAGAGACTGTGCCCCACTAACCCAACTCAAACCCAATGCTGTGTCTCAAGAGCAGTGTTTCTAGCTTCTCCAGAAAAGGAGAAAACAAATTTGATTATATTAGTCTCCATATGAAGATCCTTCTAGTTTAGCAGTAACACATCAACCACAGGGTTGTCAAATACTGAACACTCCTACAAGTAGCACATACTTGTGCAAATATAGCTAAATTTTCTGCTTTTATTAATTCATATCCATTCTTCTCAGTTAAGCAACTCCATTTCAGACAGAAATGTTTACAGAAAACAGATTCCTGTTTGTATGCCAGCGCATCTGTGTTAGACATGATGTGTTAGGGCTTAAGTTCTGTTCCACAGAAATTCTGAATATGCTGAGACTGAATCCCAGAACCAAGCAGTCAACCTTTTCATGATCAAGTCAGGACTTAAAGAACCTGAAGACTATGTATTTTGGTATATTGAAGAATGGTGCTCCCAAAATTGCTCCACAGGCAGAAGAGTGGGATTTCACCAGTGAAGTTGTTTCCTGAAAATAAATTATTAAGTCTTCCTTCCACAAGCTCACATACCACATGAAATGCAAATACATCAATACATCTAGCATTAAATGCCTCACTGTGAGGTAAAAGTGAGAATAACTCTGGCCTATATTGGCCAAACTCCTATGCATATCAAAACTTCTGCAGGATCTAGTTTTAACGGACCAGAGCAGACCTTGGTTCTACAGGCTTCAGTCATGCCTCAAAAAGAAGTGTTTAACTATGGAATCAGCTTCTGTAGAGGAAAGGACTTCAGTGAACCTCATAGTACCACATTCATTCACTTTTGAGAGACAAGATTGCCCACACTAGGATTGCAACCTGAAGTTCCAGGCTATGTGTATGTGCAGATCTATTGCCTGACGTACTTCTGCCTCTCCAGAATCCTTTCATTTAAAGCCTTACGTGAACTCCTGGTCCCAGCTGCTGTGTTGTAGCGTTGACAATTTTAAACTCTGCACTGGCATCTTGGAGAGTTAAGAAATTATCACTTGGATATTTCAAGGCAATATTTGGTGTCACAAGCATTTCTGCAGGGGACAGTAGGAACAAAAAAATCCCATACACACAGACAAGATAAGAGATTGTACTGTGACAAGAAAATGACAAATTTGATACCCACACATCAGAATCTGAGATTTGGCTAGACTTTGTCCTGGTAGTTACACAATATTTTAGTTTTAGGTGATGATCAAAATCCTGTTCTCTCACTTGGTGGACAAACAAATTTGAACATCCATAAAAAATATGGTAAGTTGAAACATCTTTTGAGTCTTAATAAGTTAAACAGATTTTCTAGAAAGAACTATTCTTATGCCATATCACCCCTACCACACAAAATTTGCATTCCCCTCTCCCTTGTATTATACGTGCTATGGAAAAGATAAGTGGGCTTTCATTTCAAAGGCCATCCATTATTTTCAGTCAACGCTGACTTCACCTGCGTGCTTGATAGGTCACTTTGTAGCAGGTACCTTTGGGCCTGCTCCCATTTTCCCTTCC